TGGAACAAACTGGGCTGAAGACTCAATTTTCTTATGAGTCATAAGCACTCGACAAATTAAGATTTGAAAGAGATTATGGTAACATTGTTGGGGTTTTGTTGTTTGTTTGTTTGTTTTTTCATCTAAACTCACTATAGCAAACCGAAGAAGCACCAGTAACGCTGGTTTTGAAATACAGTATTAGAATATAGGCAGCACAAGCACTAACCGAATTCAATGAAACTGCAAAAAGTGACAAGTCAGAACTGGGAATTCTCTTGCTGGCTCCCAGTGGTGTCACCACAACAGGAACACCCAGTCGAACCCTGCACTGTTTTCATTACAGTATTTGTAAGCTGCATATTTAATAGCAATACTCCAATGCGCCAGATACCATTTGGCACTGCAAATATCTACTTTTTGTTCTGTAAAATCAACTAAAATCTGGTAATTTCCAGGAATATATAGCTGATCACATTTCAAAGTCTAACTATATTTGCAGAGTTTGAAAGCATAGTAATAGGGTTGTTTTGCAGTTTTCATCTTTCAAACTACCTATAAATCTACACTCACAGAGTGGCTGAGGCTGGAACGGACCTCTGGAGGTCATCTGTTCCAAGCCCCCTGCTCAAGCAGGGCCACCTACAGTCAGTTGCCCGGGACCATGTGTAGCTGGATTATTAATTTCTCCAAGGCAGGCAATTTCACAACCTCTCTGGGCAACCTGGTGCAGTGCTCAGTCACCCTCACAGTAAAATACTGCTTCCTGATGTTCAGAGGGAACCTCCTGTGTCCCAGTTCAGGCCCATTGCCTCTGGTCCTGGCACTGGGCATCACTGAAAAGAGACTGGATCGGTCTTCTTTGCATCTTCCCTTCAAGTATTTATATGCATTGGTAAAATCTCCAATTCACACCTGGCACATGTTCTAACAAAATACCGTCCTCGATTTCTCAGAAGTGATTCTAAAACTCTTAGACAACTATGCAGCACCTGCTATGTGATAATAATCTGGGCAGAGAAAAATTTGCTTGTCTTAAAATACTCTAAGCCATACTAGAACTTGTTGATATTCTTAACGTATGCTGAAAAACATTCTAAAAATCATAACAAGACAACAAATAACCTTTTATGTAAACTACTAAAACACAGAACATTAAAAAGTGTGACCTAATTTATTTATTTATAGAAATAAAAGTTTACAAGGAAAGGTGAAACAATAAACTAACAGGGAAAGGGGAAAAAAAAGCATCTTATGTAAATCATACCTTTATTCTCAGCCTGCCTCCTCTCTAATGCTACCACCAGCAGCCATAAATGTTGATAATTTTCTAGTATTAGTTTAGCCAATTTAAACAAAACTAAAGTGAGAATTTACCACATTAACTCTTTTAAAACACCAAAGTATAACCATCAAATCCAACCAAGAAAAAAAAGACTTACATCCTCAGAATCTGAAGGCATAACTTTAATCTATTCCTACTACAACTTCTCTCAGTACAAAATTGAATCTTTATAGAACCTATTCTGCTTTAAATTTGCAGTAAGAAACAAAAGGCAACCTCAAGGATTTTTTCCCCCCAAACACTGATAACACCGTTTTCTTTTTAAACCTGCTTCCTTCCAAGCAACAGTGTAAAGAACCTACCACAAAGCTCCGGTTTCTTAAGAGCTCATCAATATTAGCTCAACTGACAAATGGCAATTGTACAGCCTTCCCTCGCATATCGAAGACGTCTGTAACAAAGAGTCAAGTCTAAAAGCACATTCGGAAACTTCAAAGCAAGACCAACGCGGTTCCTATTCAAGTTAGTGAAAGGCATGAAAATGGTCTATTTAATGAACTGTTGCCAATTCGGTCACGGTCACTCACAACCACAATTTCGATTGCTTTTTTTGTGTGTGTGCACGAGACCGTTTTATTGATTTAAAAAAAAAAAAAAAAAAAGAGAGAACGAGGGAGAAAGGAAAGACTGCCCCATATGGAAGATGGAGTCACA